ACAGACATTTTCCTCTGTCTGGCAGTATAGGGGATGGAGATAGAACTGGAAACTTTTATTTTTTCAGATGTTCTTGTGTTACTGTTTTTTTTCTTCTAGAACTGGTTTCAGAACTGACCAGCTCAGCACTCAGAGCAGAGCAGAAGTGGAACCCTGAAGGCCTTGGCACAAGACCCTCATCCTAAGCCTCACCTGCCACCTTGGTTGCACCAAAACAAATTTTGACAGTTCTCAGGAGCTCTCATCATGTTCCTCAATTTTATGCTCTCCATAGCATACATTCATTTGTAGCAGCAACAGCTGCTCCTCCCTTTCCCGCCTTTCTTGTTATTTCTTTTTACCCCAAAAACTGATTGGGCCAATCACGGCACAGGCTGTGCAGTGAGAAGATATATCTTACAGTTTTTGAAATTTTGAATCACTTGTAAATAGAACAGACATTGGAAGGGGCTTCTAATTTACTCATATGTCCCTTTGATACCCAGACGGGGGAAAATGCCAGCCCACAACTAACACAACAGCATTGCCTTTGCAAGACTCTGCATGCAGTGGTGCTACGAGGGCCTAATGATGTCAATGTCAATGAAAGAAAGGGAAAGGGACAATTGTGCAGCCTGCCAACACCGGGACATCCCACACAACCTGTGAGTCTCCTAGAAGAAATCCTCTCAACCCCCTTGCTATAGGACGAGGCACAAGCATTTCCAAATGAGAAACCTCAGGAAGATGAGCCTCCGGGGCTACCAGAGTGACCCCTCAGTTAGAATTTTAGGCTCTAGTGGACATGCTGTAATGAAGTCAGGGCCGGGCTTTAGGAGGCGAATAGTATAATTCTGTCACCCCCCAAAACAGGCCTTTGTTTGACATGCAGATCCGCAGTGACAGCAAAGTATTTCGATCTTGGAATACACAGCAGGTGTTGGAACAAGGCCAAAGCGGAAAGATGCAGCCATCACATGGCAGCCAAAAGGGTTTTCTTATCCCTGTTCCGCGTGAAGTGCTTTAGTGCCTCAGGGATAGTTGTCAAGCCCCACAGAGCCTCTGGAAGCCCTGAGAGCACCAAACAGCAGATGCCTCACCCAAAGTCTGGCAACAACAAAAAGTCTTGAAGTGGCCAACATGACTTCACTGCTGCCATCACCACCGAGCTGTCTGGGCAACCCCAGAACGGCAAACGAAACGAGGCCTAACGAAGGGCTGAGACTCCTCCTCATGTTTCTTTGCTGGTGGATCTGGAGTTCAGGAGAGGAAACTGAGGTTAGGCCGGTGTGCAGAAGGGCGCAGGTGCTAACGGTCTTGAACACGTGAGTCCAGAACCATGATTTATTCTTCTAGCTCTCGGCCCAGGAACAGATAGTAAAATATACCTTTAAACTCTGCATGTGATTAATTGATTTAAAGGTGAAGTCTAGAACACCTTGAAATGTTTGTATCCTATTTTCCCTTGGAACATTTAAAACAAATAATATGAGAGATAAAAGTACTCTTGATAGAAACTTGATTCAACAGTCAGGAAATTGTCTGAATATTCCTCTTTCCCTTATTCTAGCAGTTTTGTCTATATAAACATTCATATTACCCATAATTTTTAATAGTTTTGTATAAAGAAACTGTAAGTTATCTCTGAGCCTCCTGGTGGTGTTTCTTCATTGTGTATCTTTACTTCCTTTTGTTTGTATTTTGAAAAAACTGCTTCAAGTTTTTAAGGCAGTGGACTATGACTCTCCATTCATCAAAGAAAATCATATTTGAAAGCTCAGAGTTCCTTCTTAACTGTGATTATGTCTCTTTGCCTTTTTTCCGGCCTTTGCAGCAGATTTTCAGAAATTTGCAATGCCTCATTTATCTAAGACCCTGTGTGGGAGAGTCAGAGTGCCTAACCAAGTTTATGGCTTCTATCTGCATCCACACCAGATTGGAAGCAGTGGAAACTTCTAGCAGAGAGCAACCTCAATTTGCATTCCAGTTGAGTCGAGTGAGTATTCCTCAGAAGTGTTTCCGTAAGGTGCAAGTGCCAGAATCATCCAAATCATCACACTCTGTGCTACCAAATCATACTCGACCATGGTCACATCAAGTCCTAGTGTTGATTATAGAATATCAGAAAGACAGTCTTGCTGTATTGGTCTCTTTTTTCTATTTATTTAAATCTCTCTTTCTCTTTTCCATTAAAAAAAAAACAGGCAGGAAAAAAAACAGACAAAAACACACACTCACACACAAATACCTTACAATATGGAAACACATACTCTGAATAAATTGTAAAAATTTATTGCATGCAATGATTAAATGTCAGTAGTTCCTTTACTTGATATTTTATGTTTATCAAGATATATTTCAGGTACACTTCGAATGAGATTTTGTGGACCCATTAAGTTTATGCTCATATTTCTAATACATATTTCTCCAGAGTGTGTAAATATTTTTAAAATTCTGATATTTGCCAGTTGAATATATATGTAATGTATAAATATAGAGCTATGTCTGTATCTATAACCCTACTTGAGTGCACAGTGAACCTCTCGTAGTTCTATCTAATCTTAAAAATCCCCGCAGCCGTCTCTGCCTCTGGCTGCTCCTTTCCTCTCATCTCTATGTGCAGATCGATCAAGAGTTTCCATGGACAGAGGGGCAGGGTCTCTCCTCTGCACAAGCACTGTGGCATCGAGCTGATGAAACAAGCCTGGCCATGACAGCCTCAACCCAGGAGACTTTTCCTTCAGCAGATGTGAAAATGGGACTAAACCAACCAGTTAAGTTTCAGCTCTTTCCAAGAGGAAAGTTCTGAGCCCAGGGCTTTTGTTACATGTTTCAGCCCCAAATGCCACGGGCTGCAGTTAATTCAGTTTGCGGCGTGAGGACATGGTTATTTTTCTCATAACTCTCCTGGCTGGATGCGATCGCATGTCCTCGAATATGGGGGCCAATATGCATTTCTGGGGCGCGGCCTCAGGTGTCCGTGTGCGCGGGGTTGTGTGGAGCCCGCTGGACACGGAGGGAGACGCGGGGGAGTCCCCGGGAGGGTGCGCGGGGCTGACTGCGACTGGCGCGGGAATCCTTTCTCTTGACGCCAAGATACCTTCCCCCGAGGCCTAACTTTTTCTTTCTTTTAAAGTAAGTCAGTAATAAAATAGAAAGCACATTCAAGCAAATGCTCAGGATGATAAATCAGATCAACTGATACTGGTTGTATTTCACGGGAGAAACTTTGCTCTGGGTTTTCAGATTTTCCACGCTACCTACTAAAAATATATTTTTAAAAACCCACTGCTCTTCTGGCTCCAGTAACAAGGATTTGAGGAAGTTATTTTCATTGTTTATGGGAACAACACTCACTGGATCGCAGGTTTTGGTTTTTTCGATTCTCTTGACCTTCAAGTGACTTCAGCGAAAGGGAAGGAATATCTTGCTCCCAGGCAGCAGGCTTGGTAATTACTATCCTGCTGCCTCAGGAAATTCACAGGGGCGCTGCCCGGGGCACCGTGTGCTATGCAATACACTCACGGCTTGGGACATTGCAGAAGGAAAGAAATTATAACCAGGCATAGACCCCTTTCACAATAAGGCGCAAAATGCAAAACAGCTTGGCCAAGAGAGAAAGGAAAGAGTGAAGCAGAAACATAGATAAAGAGACAGAGAAAGGAAGGGAGACACAGCCCAAATGTAACAGAGAAAGTAAGATGAAAAGAATCATATAAATACACAAAGAGAGAGGAAAAAACCCTTTGGTAGTTGAAAAATTGAAATGGGGAAGAGGGCATTGAGTGAGCTCTTTCTGCCTGTGGAAGGCAAAAATTGTCTTTACAATCAAGGGTATTTAGTTTGGATACCATAAGGATAACCAAGGAAGAAATGATAACTGTATTATTCTTTACTTTTACATGCCACATGACTTCATTTCTGTGAAGTTCTGAGAAAAGCATATTAGTTGATGATGTTAAGAGTGAAAATAGTGGTTCCCTCAAGGGCTGGGGCACTGATTGGAACAGGCAGAGAGAAACACTACATCCTATTTCTTGATTTGTGTGGTAGCCACTGCGGAGTAAACATCAAGCTTATACCATCATTAGCAACTAGGAAAAAGTAACCTACAGTCAAATGATTCAATGAGCTACTACAGGTGGGAAGGAATACAGCTTCTAATATAAGCAGGTTTCTGAAGCACTGGGTACATGTCAAATTTCCTTAAAAAAAACAACAAAAAAGCCCCCACAGAACTGCCTTTGCAAGATTCCACATGCAATGGTGCTATGAGGACATAAGAGTTGTCACTGTGAAGACAGGGGAAGAAACAATTCTGCAGCCTGTTGACCCAAACATTCTGCAGAACCCGTGAGGCTCCTAGAAGAAATCCTCTCAGCTTTCTTGTTACAGGGCCAGTGAGCAAGGATCAGGAAGCTTGGGGAGGGGGGCTGTTGGGAGGGAAAAGGGGAAAAGTGCAGGTTAGGTGGGGCCTATCCAAGGGCTGCTGCTCTGGGTGTAGCGCTGCCAGATACAGTACAGGACTCCCAGTTAAAGCTGAATTTCGGATGAACAACTAATACCAGTTTAGTACAAGTATGTCCCAAATATTGCGTAACACATACTTATAGAAAATTATTTGCTAAATCTGTCAATCCTATCAGGGTCAAGCCAGATGGGGAGAGTTTGAACAGAGAAGTGACTTTGTTTTAAAATGTAAGGTGGTTTTGAAATTAGCTCATTCATCCATCTGACTCCTATTATTAAACACGTACTATTCCAGACAGTGTGCTAGGCTCTGGGCACTCAGGTCGGAGCAAGAGGGCAGGATGCTTGCCACCACCGGCAATTCCCTCTGCCCAGAGGGCTCTCCGCACTTTGGTCTACACTGATCCATTCTTGTCCTTCAGGACAATGTCAAGTGTCCCAGTCTCAGGCACCTGCCCAACCCTCCAGGACAAGCTGTTTGACATGCACTCAGCACAACACCTGATCCTCGCCACTCACTCTAGCACTTGACTTTGCTAAACTGGGATCTCCCAGGGGACAGGATTAGGTCTGTTGGTTCCCAGCCGGTTGGTTCCCTGGGGTGAGGGCACTGTCAGGGTTAATGACTAATTTTGACTGAGTGGCTCTTTGTGTCAAGCTGGGTGTCCAGCCTTCCCGGTGGTGGGGTGTGCTAGCTAACATCCTTTCAACTAAGTCTGTTCTGTTGGGATTGGCTAGGCTTGGCTTTTTCTGCTCGCAGCAGTGAGCCCTGATGACCCACTGCCCGGGGAGCAGCTGTTTGGAGCATTTGGCCCAGAGGAGTGGGCGGCGGGAAAGCAGGTGGTTCCTCTCTCCCGGAGCATCTGCCAAAGCAGCGCAAGTGCTCAGCCTCTCAGAGATCATGGCCCCTGGGACACACAGGCTGGGGACCGGACACGTGTGAGATTTGTCTTCCCAACATTTTTATGTCTTCTTTATTTTATTGCACACAGGCCGTATCCCTTTGCAGTGAATACTGTCAGTTGCCCAGCAGCTAGCTCAGGATTTATTTATGTGCCAGGTAAATGAGAGGGCAAAATGGAGACATTTTCCAGAAAATAGAAAAGGGGGAGGAGACATGGAGGAAGAATTTAAAATAACATTTGCAATTATTTAGAGACAAGCTTATGATAAAATATTAAGTATAAGATTAAAAATTGTATCTTTCAAGCACGGTAACATTGAATTCCCTGTCTACATATACACAGGGTGTCCCCCAAATGTATACCCACTTTGAATAATTCTGTATGCCAATGGGTTAAATAAACCTGGAAAGAGGGAAACATCAGTGGAGCCAGCAGCTCTTCAAGTGTGTGCACACTTTCTGGGAGCCCAGGATGCGCCCGCACAGGGGGGACATGGCGGGAAGGGGGCCGAGGCCCCAGCGGCGGTTGCTGTCGGGCGCTGGGAAATTCAGTGGCTCTTTTGTCCTTTCTCAGGTTTTCTGTTCTTTCCTCAGCTTTATTTAGCCACCAAAAGCTCTGGGTGCACGAAGTTTCCAAGCTGCAAGGACTCTCAGAGGTAAAAATAGCCTTGAGCTGCGATACAGGGGTACCGGGGTTTCACCCGTCTCTGCTGCCGAACTTTTCGGGTCACCATCGCCGGGTCCCCGAAGGAAGCGCTTCGGTTCTCGATCCCGCCTCTGAAGTTGAACATGCCCCGCGGTGTCCGCTGAGGCCGGATCCTGAGGCCTGGCTGTGGGCTGTGGACCCCTCGGTTTTCCAACTTTTCAGAACTCGAACCGTCTTCGGGAACCGAGTACCTTCAAAAACCCAGGGACCCCTGTATTTGAACCTTTCTCAGGAGCTGAGCCTCCAAAAGGCAACTTGCATTTTCCCCGTGAAACACTCTCCCTGGCTCTAAGAAGCCACCTCCCTCTCCTTGAAAGCCCTGGGGTGTTTTAAGTTTTCATCNTGTGAAACACTCTCCCTGGCTCTAAGAAGCCACCTCCCTCTCCCTGAAAGCCCCCGGGGTGTTTTAAGTTTTCATCCAGATCAAAGGGAAGGA